TGGCGCATCAATCAGCTGTTCCCTGACTAACAGGTGGAAGTAGGGGGCGCGTCCTAACACCTGGGTGCCACAGCACCTCATTCAGAAGAACCTGTCCGATGTGCCATTTCAGAAACCCGCCCTGAGACCACAGTTATGTTTGGGACACGACAAGCTTTATGCAGTAGGGACGCATGCTCAGGAGCACGTTAGCCGTTGTATAACGCATATAGTCCTTCAGGACCAACAAAAATATTTGGTAAAATGAAAACAAAACCAAACTCACCCTCAATCATCGTGAGGAAAGCGCATACCAGCCGTCATCACCTCTCGTTGACGGGCGGGTTCGAATCCAAGTGGAGAAGTCTGTCCCCGGGGATGAGTTCTAGGAAATGAATGTTGAATGATTCCGACAGACAACCAACGATCCGTGTCTTTGCACTTCCCTCCCAGCGTTCCTGAAACCCGTGCGAACCGCCCAAGAGGAGGACGGCTGCAGCTGCGGGTTCCCCGAGGAAGAAGAGGGAGAGGAGGGGGCACTGTGAATGGGAACCCCGAAAGCTGCTGGGACGCGTTTGAGAAGAAGCGAAGGAGAAACAGGAGTGGCCCCACCATCGTAGCTTTCGCTATTGAAATACACGGTCCTAGATAATACCCAGGGTTCCCCCCAACAAGTCCCTTTAAATGTACCCCCTTCCACCGAGCATGGCACCAGGCGGGTGGCAAAGGGCCATCTTCCAGACGGTACTGGACAGGATAGGGTTAGGCTTTTGTTTTGTTTTTTAATTCTCACTCAAGGATATGTTCCCATTGATCTTTAGAGAGAGTGGAAGAGAGAGGGAAAGAGAGAGAAACATCGATGTGAGAGAAACACATTGATGGGTTGCCTCCTGCACGCGCCCCGACCAGGGCTGGGGCCGGGGAGGAGCCTGCAACCGAGGTACATGCCCTTGCCCGGAATCGAACCCAGGACCCTCTGGTCCGCAGGCCACTGTTCTATCCACTGAGCCAAATAGGCTAGGGCAGTGGTCGGCAAACTGCGGCTCGGCAAACCGCGGCTCGCGAGCCACATGCGGCTCTTTGACCCCTCGAGTGTTGCTCTTCCACACAATACTGGCTCTTCCACAAAATACTGACTTCGGCGCATGGGCCACGAAGTTTCAATCACACTGTACGTGCGCACCCACACGTGGTATTTTGTGGAAGAGCCACACTCAAGGGGCCAAAGAGCCCCATGTGGCTCGTGAGCCGTGGTTTGCCTACCATGGGGCTAGGGCTTTTTTTTTTAATTCAAAGAGAATTATATTTTAAATTCAATCATATAGACAAATGGTCCAGCTAATATTCAGGTGTGTGTGTGTGTGTGTGTGTGTGTGTGATATGACATATGATTGTAAGCCATAGATGCAGGAAATACCCCCCACCAAGGTTTATGTCGGTCCAGTCACCCAGCAGTGGCCTCCTCCAGGGCTGGGGGAAGGAAGACAGAGCCAGGGTTGGGGACGAGTCTTGGGAAGATTTCCAGTGTCCCCGCAGGGCTGTGCCCCTCCACCCTCACCTCTTCTGCCTTTGTCCTACCCCCTCTGAGCCAGGGCTGACACTTCATTTTATTCTTAAAAACGTTAAAGGTAATGTTTTATACACATAAACTAATAAATGAAACATAGTCACTGGATGAAGCCCCAGGAGCCCAACCCGAGAGCTGGGGCAGGGGTGGCCTCGCTCCCCTCGGCCGAATCTGAGACATGGGCCTTTACATGGCTCAGGAGCTACAAGGAGTTTTCACGTGGTTTTTAATATCAAAAGAAGAATAACATCTCATGACCTGTAAAGTTATATGAGACTCAAATTTCCCAGTCTGTAACTGAAGTTTTTAAAAATATGTATTTTATTGATTTGAGAGGAAGGGAGAGGGAGAGAGAGAGAACATCAGTGATAACAGAGAATCATTGATGGGCTGCCTCCTGCACGCCCCCTACTGGGGATCGAGCCCACAACCCGGGCATGTGCCCTGACTGGGAATCGAACTGTGACCCTCTGGTTCATAGGTCAATGCTCAACCACTGAGCCACACCGGCTGGGCTGTAATTGAAGTTTTATTGGAACACACAACCACACTCATTGTTTACTTACTGCCCAAGGCACCTCTGCATGGCAATAGCCGAGGTGGGCAGTTGTGACAAGGGACTCGATGGCCCACAAAGCAAAAAACAAAACAAAAAACATTTAGGGTCTGACCCTGTATAAGGTCACAGTCAAGGTCAGAGCACCCGTCTGGGTGCTGCTTCTCTCCCTGGCCTTCTGCCTACCTTCCCGACACACCCCGAGCAACCTCTCTCAGGAATGTTGGTTCTATCAGCCTTACTTTTTAAAAACAAAAATCATTTATTGTATCATTATCCACTCTAAACCGTTTTATTTCGTTTTGTTTGTTATTGATGTTTCTGAAAATGGTTCTGTGCTGTGTGGAGACTTTGGGAACCAGCCTTAATGATTCACAAGTATATTTATAAGACTCATTCATGTTGTGGTGTGTAGCTGGAAGACAGCCATGTCGACTGCTTGTATACTTTTGCAAATAAACTATAATTTATCAATCGATTTTCTGCCAAAGGACGTGTGGGCTGTTTCCGGGTTTTTGCGATTATGAACGGCGTTGCTATGAATGCTCTCTTATGTGTTTTGTGTGTAGGAGGGTCTCTAGGGAAACTCCCTTTAAGCAAAATTTCTGGATTTAGGGCATATGAACTTCCAACTTTATGAACTAGTGCCCATGCCAGGAGGGATACGCTAACTTACGCAGAAATAAGAAATAATCGCCCCCACACCTTATGGATTACACAAGACGACAGGTGGCTTCCCCGCTGGCCTCCCACGCCCGGTGCGGGCTCGGCTCTCAGGTCCCGGGTCCATGCTATTTCCCGCTGGGACTGGGTGAGGAGAGCTGCTTCCACTGGGAACGTGGGTGCTCTCCTGGCAAAGGGATACGCTTCGCTCCTATGCAGTTGGCTAGATTCTAACTTTTAGAGAAAGTCACACAGCCCAGCTGGGCATCCAGGGGCAGAAGGTATCACCTTTGCACGGGGAGGGGCAGAGAACATATCTGAGCGATGAAAGGGTTACTGCGGTGACAGGCTGCTTTTCAAAGCAGTTGCTCTAATTTCTGCTCTTGTCAGCAGCACGTATGTGTTCACCTGATCCCCATCGTCGCTGCCCTCTGGCATCATCAGACTGAATTTTCCAATCCTGGCGGGAGGAGGAAGGCACCTCCCGAGGTCTTATTCTGCATCACCTTGAGCGTCTCGCCATTGAAGTCCTTTTATACCATGTGTGCTTCCTCTTGGTGAAATGCTTGCTTATGTTTTTTGCTCATTTAAAAAACTTGCTTGTTTGTCTCTTTCTTATTGATTCCTACAAGTTCTTTATATATTCTAGATCATAACCATTGGCCACTTATATGTCTTACCAATATCTGCTTTGTTTGTGATTTGTTTCTTCTCTTTTAAATTGTATCTCTCTGGTAATAAGAGGGAAAGTTCTTAATTTGGTTAAATTTACAACTCATGCTTCACAGACAAAAAAAAGCCAAAGGGAGTTTATCACCACCCAGCCAGCAATGCAGAAAGGCTAAAACAGCGGTTCTCAACCTGTGGGTCGCGACCCCTTTGGCAGTAGAACGACCCTTTCACAGGGGTCGCTTAAGACCATCCCATATCAGATATATTTACATTATGATTCATGACAGTAGCAACATTACAGTTATGAAGTAGCAACGAAAATAATTTTATGGTTGGGTCACAACATGAGGAACTGCATTTAAAGGGCCAGAAGGTTGAGAACCACTGGGCTAAAGGGACTGTTGTAAAAAGAATAAATAAAAAGGGAAGAAGGAACACAGGCACAACAAATAAAAATGGCTACAAACAAGAACCTATCAATAACCTTGAACGTAAATGGACTGAATGCTCAAATCAAAAGACATCGAGTGGCTGAATGGATAAGAAAACATGACCCATATATATGCTGTCTGCAGGAGACCCACCTCAGAACGAGGGACAAATGGATAAGAAAACATGACCCATATATATGCTGTCTGGAGGAGACCCACCTCAGAACAAGGGACACACGTAGATTGAGAATGAAAGAAAAACATCTTTCAGGCAAATGGAAATGAAAAAAAAGCTGGGGTAGCAATACTTATATTGGACAAAATAGACAAAGTGAAGGCCATAAGAAGAAATAAGGAAGGCCACTTCATAATACTAAAGGGAGCAATACAACAAGAAGATATAACTCTGGTAAACATATATGCACCCGATACAGGGACACCCAAATACATAAAAAAAACTTCTGGAAGAAATCAAGGGAGAGATCCACAACAATACAATCATAGTAGGGGACTTTAATAACCCACTGACATCACTGGATAAATCCTCTGGACAAAAAATGAGCAAAGAAACAGCAATCCTAAATGACTCAC